CAATGTCTATAGCTCGAATTTTCCCTTATTAACAATGACAGTATCTAAAAATATTCGGAAGCCCTGGATCACTCCTCTGCACCTGAAAATGTTAAAAAAGAAGAATAGTTTATATAAGTATTTTTTAACGTCAAGAGATCCCGATAAACTGATAATTTTCAAGCAATTTCGTAACCGCCTGACATCTGAATTGCGGAAAGCTAAACTGGAGTACCACACACAGCTTTTTAACCGAAATTGCAAAAAACGACCAGAATTAGTTTGGAAATCCATAAATGAGGTGTTACACCGTAGTAGACCGCGTAAAGCTATTGGTGAACTTTCTGTTGATGGGAAAAACGTTTCTGGGGCATCACTAGCAGAACACTTCAATAGAGTATTCGTAAACTTAAGCCCACCGCCAAGTAATGCTAATGCCTTCAGTTTTATACAAGATATAGTACACGAAACAATTTTTTTAGAACCGACTGATGAGCACGAAGTATGTTCTATATTTACGGGCCTTAGCATTAGTAGAAGTTGCGACACAGATGATTTACAAGCTAGAGCCGTAAAATTTGTTATAGATATCATTGCCTCTTGCCTGGTGCATATTTTTAACCTTGCCTTGTCACAAGGGACATTTCCTAGTAGAATGAAATTAGCTAAAGTATCAGTCATATTTAAAGGAGGAGATAAAAATCTACCGACAAACTATAGGCCTATCTCGATACTTCCTATATTTTCCAAAGGGCTTGAAACAATTATTTTAAAACGCCTCGATTCTTTCTTTGCTAAACATTCTGTGATTTAGGATTTTCAATATGGTTTTCGCAAAGGAAAGTCAACTGAGTCTGCATTGCTTCAACAAAAAGAAATTATTTTGAAAAATATATAAAATCGCCTGTTTACCCTTGGTATATTTATAGATTTTAGTAAGGCGTTTGATCTCATAAACCATAAAATACTACTTGATAAACTATACTGTTATGGAATACGTGGTGTAACTCTGTCCCTTTTACATTCCTATTTGAAGCACGGTAAGCAATGTGTTGTGATCGATGGTCATACATCGCCTTTTCTTAACATACGATGTGGGGTTCCGCAGGGTAGTATACTTGGGCCAATGTTATTTAATGTGTATATTAATGATATTGTAAATGTAAACAAACAAATAAAATACATAATATAGGCTGATGATACCAGCCTATTTCTTGCCGAAACGAGTGTTGAAAAATTAATCGTAGGCGCAAATGATGTTCTTAGCCAGTTCCTTATATGGTCCAACAACAATGGCCTTAAAATTAACATTCAGAAAACGAAAGCTATAGTTTTTCGACCAAAGAGCAGGGCTCTGCCAATTAATCATAATATTACAATAGGCATCGTACCAATCGAGTTAGTAAAACAACATAAAACGTTTGGAATATTTTTTTCCGAACACCTTTTGTGGAATGATCATGTCAATTATCTTGTTACGAAGCTGTCTAGGGTGGTTGGAGTTATGTCACACTGCCGCAATATTTTCCCAGTTAACGTGAAATCACAAATCTACTATTCACTATTTCAGTCTTACATTAATTATTGCCATCTTGTTTGGGGGACAACTACACAAACAAACATAGAAAAACTTACTTTACTTCAAAAAAAGATGCTTCGTTATATTGCCAATGAGGTCTATCTCGCTCACACGAAACCTTTGTTTGCCAAATATATAATAATTAAACTTGATAAGATGTGAATCTGTGTCCTGAATACAAGTTTATTATTATTATTATGTATGACTTAGATTACTGCATGCTTTCGTTTTTCATCTCCTGAGCATGCTTCGCTTTTATGCAAGATGTCAGAGCTCTCCGAACATCCTCGTAGTTTCAACACCCGTCTTTTTGAAAAATGGATAGTTCCACGAGCTCGTATTAACTATACTTACCAGTCAATTACATATCGTCTACCTTTATTACTTAATCATCTTCTTAATAATAATACTGATATATATCAAATGGGAAGGAAATCATTACTTATGCATTTCTTGTGAATTGTTTCGTGAAATTCCTTGAGCATACCCACACCTTTGTATAAATTTTGCATTTTGTACAGTGCTGTAAGAAGTTATGCGTTTGTGCGCCTTGTGTTGTTTTGCGTAATTTTCTTCTATATGTAGCTGTATATGTTCTCAATCTGTCACAAGTTCTGCGAATAATTTTTTTTCTTTTTGTATAATGCTGTTAGAAGTTGAATGCATGAAGTGATTACTCAGCGTATCTTTGCATGTAATATCCTTTTGTGTTTTGAATGGATGTCCTGCTGACAAATTTTAGACGGGCCCCGGACCTCGTCAAGCTGCCACTGGCAGCTTTTTGTCTAGGGTCTCCGTTGGCTTAAAGGCCATAAATAAAACGATTCATTGATTAAAGTTTGACCTATTAACCGGTTAAAAAAGCAAATCCTAATTAAAGAATTATTCGATTAATCGGTAGATTAATTGATTAAGTACACAGCCCTAATTTTCATTCTCACTGAAGACCGCTTTAGAACGTTATATCTTGCCGAAAAGTTTGTCCCTAGAAAAAGTAAAAAATGCAGGAGCATCAGTTGTGCTGGGAAAGCTTGTTCGTGTTTATTAGGAAAAGAGCGAAAAACGTTCTTTGGCCAAAGAGAACCGAAAAATGTACAAGCCATAAAGAAGTAGAAGTTTGTAAGTAGCTTCTTCGCCTAGAAGTAGATCGTGGACACTGAATTCAGTCCTCTTGGGTTGTGGAACTTGCCCAGCACGGGTTTCCGCACCTCAGTCTTTTAGTGCAGTTCGTGCATGCTATCCCAGCATCAAGTGCATCGACAAAGATAGGTTTCATATTAGCGGTTATTATTCTTAAAAGAGGCGAAGGAGTCTGAATTCGTCCATGTTGACGATATTCTGTTTCTTCTAACAACAACCTCGACAGGTAAAACGTTCCTTCTGCCTGCGCTTCCTCTTTCTCGACAGTTGGCGCTGCGTTGTTCTTAAGTATATGGTTCCGAGCATGCAATTGAGGGTTCATGATTAAAACTGAAACCGATAGGAGGTGTTGCCGTTAGTGAATATTGTGGTATTTTCCCCAGTAGTGTAGTCGCACCTTACCACATATACACGAGTACTTTGCTGCGGGGAGTGAGCGCCTTTCCTCTCCCCGCTTTTTTTATTGTTTGGCCTAAGTAAAAGTGCACAATGTTAATAGTCTGTCATTTCTTAATTTTTATGTTTTTTTTTAAATAGGTGTCAGCTTAAAATGGGTTTAAAAGGCAAGAAGAAAAATAAATATCAAAATTTCCTTCGTTTTGAGCGCATCATCTGGAGTGAATGTCACTGTCACGGACTCCCAATGCAATTTCATAACTGCGATGAACTTTCCACCGATGTGAAGTATTTCTGGAAAGATGATCTCGTGTTATATAAATACGATATAACAAGACACGATACAATGAATTTCAACTTAATCTGACGGGAAGGGTTCGTAGTTTGAAGGTAAGCAGGAGGCTTGCAGCGTACCATCCAGATGTTATTTTAATTTTTATTCATGACCGATTTCCTGATGTAAAATAAATGCGCGGATTGAGAGTGGGATGTGGTTTCTAATTTTGCGGATGCGGATCAGATGCACATATTCAAACTGTGATCCGCGCAGCGCTCTACGTATAATGTATGGAATGCAGTTTATTCTAGTAATTGTTCAATTTTTTTGAAGACGTTAAACAGTCGTTACGGTAGAGAAGTACCCACAATTTTATAACTATTGAGGAAACCGAAATGGTGTGTCACGCGATCAAAGAGGAGGAGGGGAGGGAGTGCTCCGCTAGAGAATGGGGAAGGGAGGTAGAGGTTGGAATTGGAGGTAGGTGAGGAGGGAGGGGAGAGGGATGGATAGGACAGCCTAGGAGCACATCACCTAGGGTTATCTAGGATGTGCTACAAGGAGGGGGAGAAGAGAGGAATGGACGACATGGATGGGGTGAGAAAATTTATGTGTCACGCATATTTTTGCGCTGAATTTAGGGCGGAAAATGAATTGTCCTACAGGTCAGGTGACAGCAATTTCTCGCCCTAAATTTAACTTTGAAACTAGATTGGTGCAAGGGTCATGTGACGTCAATTTTCCCATGTTCTGTAGGCCACGTTACGTCATTTTATTCGCTAAATTAAGCAGAAAATGCAGAAACGGGAGGACGGAGAAAATTTGGGATTGGGGGCTGCGTTAAAATGTATTTCATTCTTTAATAAACAGCCCATATGTGAAAATTCATAACCTTCACTGGGTACTCATTGGTGGAGACATCTACGTTGGCCAAGGTGCAATTAGAACCTCTCTCATACAGTTTACCGTCATCCCAGCACAAAAAAGGTCTTAACAACAAAAGGCGAGATAGCACTCAGTTTTTTGTAACAAACTACTGTGGAGATTATTGAAGCTGACAGAATCAAAAGATGCGGCGCAGCATGTGTCAGCGTAGTGTTTACTGAACTTGCAGGTAAGTAAATCGCGATCTTGGAAGCGGTGGTGGGGCATCAGATTGGCTGCGAGTGGCCCGAAGACACGACTATATATAGTTCCATTTTCGCGTGATTGAGCAGCTGAAAATTAGCGCACAGTTGAGTCCATTTCGCCTTTTTTACTTGTCTTCAAGCGCTACCTTGTATCTTGAAATTGAGCAAAAACTTGCACAGTAACCAAAACTCTTATGTAATATAAGTGATGCGGGAAGAGAAATGAAGTAAATTTGGCATACTTACGTGTCAGAGCGAACTGATTTCGCACGTGGACTACCCGCACATCTTTTCACGCAGTGCCGGAATCTCAATTGCACGTCGACTTGTCCGCAGTAAGCCTCCGTCAAAATGCGGGCTTCCAGGGTGGTATTTGAAACCACCAACTAGGTTTTCCCAGACCGGTACTTTGCTGCTCAGATGCCAAGGAGGTGCCAGTATAGAATTGTAATACTTTATTTTTTGGTGGTATACTAGTTTATCTTATTGTGAATTGTGTTTATTCTCCAAGCGCCACAGTGTAGTTTTTGCGTTCTGCCAATAGCACACCAAACCAAAGGCAGCTGCTCATTATCTGAAGTCCAGCCAATATGCAAAACATGTCCACATACGATCCGGTAGTGTCTCTGAAATAACCTGAAAAAAAGAAGGATGGCGTATTTTTCGTTCAGATTCCCACGCTATATAAGATGCGTACAGGTCTTGAGACTATTATTACCCGCAGTTGACATAATACGAATCGTCCCCATGAGATGTTCATATCTTTTGTATACGTTTGGAATTATACCCAACTACATGTGTTACGAGACAAGAAACCGCTAAACATATTCAACTTCAGTTTGTGATGCTACTACATAGCATGGTACTCGGTTCATTCATTCATTCATTCATTCATTCATTCATTCATTCATTCATTCAATCATTTGTTCTTTTTTTGTGCTCGTCAACAGTATGTGCCTGGGTAATGATGCAGAAATAGTTAGACTACTGATTAGTCAAACACTCCTATGAACCATGTCGTTTAACACCTGAAACTGCTGAAAAAAAAAAAAATTAGTCGAGGGAACAGACACAGAAGGGAACAACTCAAACTTAGCTAACTTGTTTATTTCTCTAGCATCATATATATACGCACACAGTCAATCTCAACCACCTTTTACGCAGAGATATCTACGCACAGTCTCGGGTGTTTTACGACATGATTAGGTACTGCCAGCTCGCCTGCGCACTTAGCGTTTTTCCACTCATTAAAAGGTGGTTATCGTAACGGTGATTATCTATCACAAACTACCAAGTTGCCAGATTGACTTTTTAATACAATAAAAGCGGCCAGTGTAAAGCAGTAAGTTAAAATTACTACAAATATTTTATTTCAGACATTTATTCAGTCCCTTTAGACCCTATAAAGCGAATAGTACATAATATAATACAACATAACCTGCCACTAGCCTAAGCAAATCGAATATATATAAAAAAATGTACATAGAAGAAGATGAACGGATATGCTCTTAAACACTTCAGCTTCACGTTAATATATCATTCATATTTATTGAGGCCATTACGGGCCGCCTGTAAGTGAGATTCTGGAAAACAATACGGGCTGTAGTATGTGGTTTCAGGAATCGGACATGACTCGCTCTGGTGAGTTTGCCCATTCCTGGTATTATACGTGGGCAGTCGTCACGGAGAGGGTCCTGGTTTGATGCCAGGACCAAGCGGATTTTTTCTGTCACCCACCAGTCACCTAGTTGTGTTATGAGGTTTGTCTTTGTGCTTTGTCGCCCTCATTTCTTATTCTCCATATATTATAATCGTTAGTCATAAGCGTTGCTCATGTTCAGCGTCATGATAGGCTTAACTGTCAATTGAAAACGTGGATCGCGACGCAGAACTAGTCAAGTCACTCACCTATGACGAGAGGCTTCAGAAGAAGAATTGGTGCACCGATCATGCTGCACAGTCCATATGCAACAGAAAGTCGGTCAAGACCGATATAGTCTGCCAGTAACACACCAAACATCGACTGCGAACAACCCATTGCTGCTGCCATAGGAAACATTACGATGACTAAGCTCTTGTACGATCTCACGCTAGAAAGGGTAGCTACTAGTATTCCAACGACGAGGAAGTCGAAGGCCCAGAGGGTGCTGCGGCGGACGAGGTTCTTATCTGCAATCAGCGGAATCAGAAGCCGCCCCGTTCCATCCATGATTGAGAAAAGGGAAAGCAGGGCCGCAGCTTTACGTTCAGGGGCTCCAATGTCTGTTGCAAAGTCAACGACTGTAGTCAGAATTATGTCCAGGTTTAAGTACATCGCTAGCCACGACACAAATAGGACGTAGAACACTGGGGCTCGAAGTACCTCTCCCGCTGTCTTCAGGACGCGTGGCTTTGATTCAGAAGTAGAGGATCGATTTTTTTGCGTTCCGTATTGTGTTTCTTGCCTCCTCAATTTATCTGAAAAAGTTATCGGCCTATCGCAGCCGTCTATTAGTGGAGGGTTTTTCTGTGGAGTTGTAAAGTGCTCACCTAAAAGCGTACTAAGAGGAATCAAGTTCAGAAGGATGCCCCCTAAGAGAAAGAGGGAGCCTTCAAAAGTGTATCTGCTTGTCAATAAGTACATGAGGATAGGAAAGACAAACGCTGAAATGCTGGGCCCGGTATTCACAATGCCGTGGGCTATTCCTCGGTAAACCGCAAAGTTCTGACTCACAAACACTTGCACACAGACACTCATTGTTCCGCTGCCGAGTCCTGCAAGAGGGACAGGAAAAAACGTTAAGAGTTACTTTTCCGAAATCAAGTATTAGAGCATATTTCAAGATTATTACCCAGCAAGTTTAGAAACAGGGCACCAGGAAAGACTGCAAGTTTATTTTCTTGATTTTATTATACCTCTCGGTCGCTTCTTACCGCACATCGAAAGACGTTGACAGGCGCCTGTATAGGAGGTGTTTACCAGACGCCATATTAGAGGGCGATGTTTAGAGCGCATGCTCAGAACGAGCTCACAGTAATAGCCTGCTAAAACCGGCAACCTTGATGGTGCTAAATGCACGCTCCTAAAGGACTCCGGAAGCTCGCCGTCGGCACGCGCTCAGTAGCAACGGACACGGATATGGCCGCCAGTGAATACTCCCTACCAGATCGTGGCTCGTGCATCTATGAAACGCTAGAATTAATGGACACGTCTTACGAGCGTTGCAGAAGTTTATAGGCGGGGGGAATAGTGAACAAACGAACGCGAAAACGGAGGTCGACGCGCAGCTTTTATGTCCGGCTTTTACGGTCATTGCAGACGACCTGGTAGATGATGATAGACGGTGGTGGAATAGCAGATGATGCCGGAGGCTGCCGCGCGTCTCCTCGAGCGACTTGCAGGCGGCGTCAGCTAGACGCCTGACTAGACGCTGCAGATATCGCGAAAGGGAGACACTAGGCTTGTGAGCATGTTCGCCCGAGCAGCGAAGCCAATCTAGTAGTAATGGGCGGGGTCACCGATCTGTGGGCTGGGCTTAGAGCGGCCCGTGACCTCCACCTAAATTGCATCTAACAGCCTCAATATTGCAAGGAAAAATATTTTTTCGTGGAATTATTTTTAAAAATGTGTCTCATCCGCGCCTTTATTTGTTTTAGTCATTTTAGTGTTTCTTTAACTAACCCCAGTATCCCTTACTTGTTAGGATGGAGGCTTGGACAAGTTGATGATTTATTGTAAAAAGCAACTGCTCCAAATAGAAGCAACAACAGGACGATAGGGGAGGCACCTTTGTCGTCTGGAAAGACAACATCGCTCTTGTTTCCTTTTCTGTGTCTCATATTTTGTCTTTGTCTTTCTTGAGCTGTTGCTGTTTATAACAGCCTTAAATGTACTCTTACGTTCGATTTCTTAAATCAGTTCTACTTTACACAGAAATGGGAACAATAAAAAAAAAACGCTACAATGTTCCTTTCGTCTTACCATGCAGCAATCCCAATGTAACGGTCATCCACCAAATTTTTGAAATAAGAACAGAGGCAATGAGTCCAAGCGACGTAAGGAAGGCGCCCACGATGGCCGTCTGAACTAAGCTTAGCCTTTGGGAAAGCAGTCCATACACCAGTCCTGTTTGAGAAAGTGAATAACAAAGTAACACGTAATTTCTCGGTCCAACTGAATAAATATTTTGGTGCGACTTGTGTTAGCGGAGTAGGCTATCAGTTGCTGCATCTATGGCTGCTTTGATGCGGGATATGTGGGCCTGGATTTATTAATAAGACGAGTACAGACAAATAGTCAGTTTCAGCAATCTTGTGCATAAAAATTGATCAGCAGTATGCTTTGTCAAATAAAGGTATGCTTCTATATACAAAAATTGCGCCAGTTCTTTGCTCATACTTAAAAAACTCGTGATAAAGAGAGAACGTTTCTTGGTTGGCAAACAAGGCTACGGTCGTTTAAGTACTCAGAGGACTTAAAAATAATAATAATAATAATAAAACATTAGTAATGAAATAGATATAATGCTAATAATTAATATAAAAGAATAATACATTAATATTGATAATTAGATAATAATCATGATTATGAAAATAACAAGAAAAGTCTTCAATATGAAGGTTGAGGAGCCCAGGACACCATTGGCAAGAGTATGGTTCCTGGAGCGTGTCTTCCACTGCTATGTTTACCGCATACTTATGACGCCATAGAAGTGTTATGTGGCTGTGGCACAGCCAGGGCCGCAACACTGGCGCTCTCACCGCAGGGGTGCTGCAGTGACAGTAAAATTTGCGTTCCCAGGTGTTTTTTGTTCTTCTGAACTTCTGCACCCAACCGCCGGGATCGCAAGATCCGACAACATGACCCACCCACTTTTTTTACGTATTTTTTTGCCACTTCAGGACCCCTTTCGATGCCAAGCAGCACGAAATTTGGGCAAGCAATGGCCAATTGCAGGCGACAGTTTTTTGGCCAGTGGCCGGTGGCCATGGCCACTGGCCAAAAATGATGGCCTTTGGCCAGTGGTCAAAGGCCTTCATTTGCCAATGCTTGGCCGATGGCTGATGGCCAGTGGCTACTGGCCATTGGCAAGATAAACTCCAGTCATCGGCCAATCTCTGGCCACTGTTTGGCCACTGGTCAAAGGACCATTGCCAGCCATTGGCCAATGATCGGCCAACTCTGTGCTGCTTGGGTGCATGGCAGGAATAGGTAGCTGAACACACCAGTCAGAGACGCGTTCCAGGCACCATTATACGACGCAGTATACAATACACTGAGTGATAACAATAGCTCTGATAGAACAAAAACTAGGGGTGTGCGAATATTCGAAAGTTTGAATACGAATCGATGATCTCCTATACCATGATGATGATTTTTTATACCAGGAATTAAATAAAACTGGATCTGTCTAGGCAGCGTGTAAAAAATAGCTTCTATTTTTTACATGCTGGCGTGACAAAGATGCAACTTAGAATAGTCTAACAAATATACTGGTAATTACCTTAGCGTATGAAGGATATATCTAGTACTTTGGCCATACATATATATTCAAATTTAAAAATATATCAGCACTTGGCTAGATAATACATATCAGATGTAACTTGCAATCGAGTCATGCAAATTGAGGGGCAAAGAAAGTGACAAAGAAACCAAAACTTCTCTGGTCTCATGAAACAAAATTTGTAGAGTTTTTTTTTATTTTCAACGAAGACAGATACGTAGCTTTCAGGGAATAAACATATTCTTATACGCTTCAGATATTTAAAGGCATGCGCGGCGTTCAGATTATTCGGTACTTGACCCGCTATTCGCACTTTGTCCGAATATTTGGCCGCGGCCGAATAATCGGGAACTTCTGAACAAGCAATTCTCGAATCGTATTCGATTCGAGAATTGCTTGTTCGGAAGCTCCTGATTATTCGACCGCGGCCAAATATTCGGACAAAGTGCGAATAGCGGGTCAAGTACCGAATAATCTGAAAGCCGCGCATGCCTTGAAATATCTGAAGCGTATAAGAATATGTTTATTCCCCGAAAAATACGTATCTGTCTTCGTTGAACATAAAAGAACTCCACAAATTTTGTTTCATGAGACCAGAGAAGTTTTGGTTTCTTTTTCACTTTCTTTGCCCCTCAATTTGCATGACTCGATTGCAAGTTACATCTGATATGTATTATCTAGTCAAGTGCTGTTATATTTTTTAAATTTAAATATATATGTATGGCCAAAGCACCAGATGTATCCTTCATACGCTAAGGTCATTACCAGTGTATTTATTAGACTATTTTTAGTTGCATCTTTGTCACGCTGTTTAGTTATGAATCATTTTATTTACTCATTTACTTGGGTAATCATTGGTCCAGTTGCCATGACTGCATAGAAGCTATTTTTTTACATGCTGCCTAGACTGATTAAGTTATATTTAATTCCTGGTATAAATGTCATCAATGAGCCGACATCTAATAAAAGCAATAATATTCGCATACTCGTCTTTTCTCTCCCCCATTATTTTAATACTGCGCACATGCTCGATAGTCGATTCGATATTCGAAGGTGCTTTTTCTTGATATTCGTATGCCATTGGAATTCGACAATATCAATATTCGCACACCCCCAACAAAAACATAAACGAGATCACATGTGGAACTCATCAACAAAACGGAGCCTATAACTGTTTAGCAGAGAGATTGACAACTAACATTCATTTTTGTTCTCTATAGAGCTGGTGAAGAATTAGAAACTCTATATTGAACGGTATATGGTGTCAATAATTTGACCTGCGTTTGAGAATGTTGAAACGAGTAAGACCCGCTTTGGCGATGATACTATACAAGGTGTTTAATTTTAATTCTAACAGTTTTTTTAAGGGATGAGAGTTTGACGAGTGCCATCTTCACGCTGCCTTTATCAGGTTCAGCGGACTTTAGATGACGGGATGATCGTCAGGGTATATCTAATGATGAACAAGAAGTTGCTACCTCACTTTCTCATGATTGTTTTTAAGGGTCGATTGCAGTATTGACAGAAATTACCATTGCCTGCCAAACCGATTAAAAGCATTTCAAAATAATGCTTATTAATTCATTTTCGCGTTCTTTTTGCGCCAGATTTAGAAATTGGGCATAAGAAAAGCGCCGCAAAGTCATTACACTTAAGAGTGACTAGTCGGTTCAGTCATGTCGTGAATGGTGTCGTCGGCGCGCCCGCCAAGGACACGCTGCCTAGATAGTGTGTGGGCACCCTGGCGGCTCCACAGCCCAGTTGCCCGACTGCGAGGAAAAGGTGCCGAACTTTTCCCACGTGGCAGTGACGTCACGCCAGCCACGCGCACATCGCGTGCGCCGCCTTGATAAGGCGCATCAGTGGCGGCACACAGGGAGTCGCTGCCTTGGACTCAGGAGCCGCTGGTAATCAAGTTAATCGTCTCGTCCATGTTCCATTAAATGTAGTTTCTTGTTGTTGAAACCGTTGGCTCCGTGTAATTCCTCCGGGTTGGGTATGCATCAAGCTAACCGACCACAATGGCGCCCAAGCGTGGTATGCTACCCACTCGCAGGAATTTTACGGGCCTTGGTCTCTTCTTTCTGTAAGCATTTTTACCCATACCCCGTGTTTTCGACCATCGTTCTGTGCTTCCGTCACGCCCGTGTTTGTTGTATTGACTTGTATCTGACTGTTTTTGTGACCGCGGCAATCGTTTTGCGCTGTTGTTTTGGTTTCTGGGGGGCGTTTCCTTTGTTTGCGCTTGAGTTGGGTTTTGGGGGGCGTTTCTTTTTTTGTGCTTGCAGGAATGCTCACGTGGGAGCACGAAGCCGCGATGGCCGCAGCGGCACAAATGACCCTGCTTACGAAGGTCACGGAGATGTGCGACTCCGTGATGCAGCGCCTGGCCCACACGCCTGGCCAGCAGGAAACCCCACCGCGAGAGCCCCGACCACACTTGACTGTTCCGGTCTACATGGGGTACGACGACGTCAAGTCCGTGGCAGACTTCCTGGGCGAGCTGCAGACATACCATTTTGCCTCCGGTGCCTCAGAAGCCTTCATCGTGGACCGCATACTCCCGCTGGCGTTGCAAGCCAGTGCCAGGTGCTTGTTGGGCTCACAGGCCCCCTTCACCAGCCTGGCGAACTTCCAGACAAGGCTTCGAGAAGAGTTCCTGCCTGCAGGCTACGCGTCGCGAATTCTCCGAGAGCTCGAGGCAAGGACGCAGCACCCGGACGAAAGTCTATTCCGGTACGTCTGGGTCATGCAAGAGGTCTTCGAGACGGCGGACCCGAAGTCGCCGGGATCGGACACAGTAACTCGGGTCAGGAGACAGTGTTACTCAAGGTACCACGTCTAATTGATCAACCGCACCTTTCAGACCCTTGAAGAGCTAGCCCGGGGCGCCCGCCTCATCGAGGAAGCTCTTCCTGCCGAGCGGGACTACGTGCCGCCACCACCAGCCAAGTACGCGCTCGAACCAGCATGCGCATGGCGGTGCCCCGAGGCCTCCACGCAAGTGGACTGTCCGAACGAGACCTCCCTTCCCCACCACGTCAACCAGAAGAGTTGGCTTGGCATGCATGGTGATCTCCCGTGCGGGATAAGCGTATGTTCGCCTAACTCTCCCCGAGAGGTCCCCAAAGGTCACAGCGGGGTCCGTGAGGGTTTTAGCCGGGGGTCGCCACGACAGGTGGGAGGTTGGTGGCCGTGCCCTATCGCTAGCTGGAGCCCAACGGAGATCACCACCCAAGCGAACCATCTTCATCAGTCTTCTCCTGCAAGTGCTGGCGAAAACTGGCACGGTGCGGTCGCAAACCCGCAGCCCAGCAGCATCGACCCCCGCCGCAACGGAACAAGCCCTCCCCACAACAGCCAGTCGCAAGGCTGGTAGAGGCCCTCCCATAGTGGTTCCTTACCCGATCACTGGAGGCGGTCCGACGGGCACCTCGGTGCGGGTGGCCTAAGCAGGCAACTGTCGTCGGAGTGCTGCTACGAGTGCGAGCATCCCGGCCATCACCGAATGCAGTGTCCAAGGCTTCTGGACACTACAAACAAGAGGTGGCACGAGACGGCGGCAAAGGGCCGGAACCAAAACAACCAGGGAGACTACTATACTACGGCCGGCGACGCTGAA